CTCTACTGGCTAGAAGACTTTTTCTTCTTCGATGGAAGGATCCACAACCTCCAATATGTGGTCATTGGTTAAGAGAGAAAAGGTTATCATGGTTACATTCATTTAGAGAAGATTAGATATACTGTTAGGGGATCTGTAAACAAGTTTTTTGACATTTGGCAGCCATTTATATCTTATGTGGGAAAAGTTTCGGCAGATAACTTTGTGTAAAGGTTAAACATTGTTTTTTTTTTGTACACAAACCTGTACCTTGTATTGAATGAGATATGAATACAAGATGTACTTATGTTATGTAGTAGATCCGGTATAGGAGGGGTGGGATGGGAGGGATTTCGGGGGTGTGTGTTTTGTTCTGTGTTTTTGTTAGTTTGTTCTTTTCTGTTGTTTGTGTTAAAAAATGTAATAAAAAGACCCTGTTCAAAATACAAGCTGCTGAAGTTTGAATGTTTCAAACCTCTGTTCCTCCGAGCACAGGCTGCTTGAGAAAGTGAGAAGGGGGTCTCTGATGTGACCAAGTGGGAGGTGGGGGTATATTTTGGGTAAACCGTGATTGGTCAGATGATCATGTGAGTATCACGTTTAATAGATCTGTCAAAGTTTGAGCAGCACAGTGACAAGCAGACTGAGGCAGTGGTAAAAAGGTAAGTGATTTTATTTACAGGTGAGGTTTTACAGGAACCAGATCTGGAAGGAAAGAAGGTGTTGGTGAGTATTTGGTGAGTATTTGGTCATGTGATGGTGAGTATTTGATCATGTGAGTAGATGGTGAGTATTTACAATCCAGTTTTGAGGTAGGTGAGTTGGTTCCAGACAGAGGCAGACAGGCAGTGCAGCAGGTGAGTGGCTCTCTTTCAGGCTCTTCCAGGATCACAGGGAGAGGATCATCCAGGTGAAGCTCAGGAGGCTTAAACTCTGTACACAGAAATTCACAAAGGTTAGTTTAACTCAGGGAAGTCCAATACACTGAGAGGCTGAGTAGCTTTACCAAAGGCAAGTGATGCATCAGAGAAGAACTTCTTCTTCTTCTGGTGTTTAATGGTGGTTGGCAGTAAACTGAAGGTGTGCATTACCGCCACCTACTGGTATGGAGTGTGGTTCAAGATGATTTCAATAATATTTATATCCTACTAAAATTATTGTATTTCTATTTCTATTTTCAAATCTATCTATTCAAAGGAAATATAAATAAATAAATAAAAAACATATATAACACAAAAATCGTATTATTTGTATATGTTTGCTCCCTAAATTCCTTTGTAATGTATCTATTATGTCAAACCTTTCCTTAATGTTTCTGAACTGTTTTATCATAAATTGTCTCTTGTTTGTACTTCTGACTTTCTTTTAYAACATGTTCTTTTATAACATGTTCTGTGGTTTCATTTTGTTCACAATAATCACATTTCCCTGTTTTATGTTTTTTGTATTGCAAAAAGTGTAAAATTAAGTCCTGTATGTCCAAATCTCAACATTGTTATCACTCTTTCTTCTTTTCTGCTCCTTTTTCCAGCTCTGGTTTCTCCTACCAGCCTCTGGATCTTATAAAACCACCTCCCTTTGTTTTCTCTCTCCATCTCTTCTGACACTCTTTCTTCAGTCTTTCTTTAATTATATTTTTGCTTCAGATTTACTTGTCTTAATTATAATGTTAATGTCACTTTGAACTGCTTTCTTTGCCATTTTATCTGGTTTCTCATTTCCTCTAACCCCTTTATGTGCTGGTACCCAGAGAAAAACAGTTAACCCATCCTTTGTATTCTGAATAATGTATGACTAATGTTTAAAGTCTGGCCTGCTGTCTGAGTGATTTCAGAGAAGAACTGATCCTCTGATCTGCCTTAAGAACCCAGAGCGCTGATGAACCAGATCTGCTGCAGCTGTGGCCACTTGGTAATGGCAGCCAATCAGGAACCAGGTAACAACAAACGGGTGAGAACAGGAAAACACAGAATGCCTCAGTGGGGAAGTTAAAAGATGAAGTAATGGTATAATTAAACATGTAAATATAATTTATTGACTTTAAATTTCTACCTCCTCCCTGTCTGTTATGACTAATATTATTATTCTTAAAATTAGAGATGTGACTTGTACTTCTCACCTGCCTTCATCCAAACTACAGCCACATGTCAGTCCGGTCACTCAGGGCTTACCCAAACTACGTCCAAACCCCAGAAACTCCCACTCAGACTGCAGAGACCCCTGCCTGGGAAAAACTGGAGAAGAAAAGCAGCAGTAGAAATCTGTGCAGGAGGAACCAACAGATCTCAGTAATCTGCTTCATGCACACTAATAACTTTCAACAGGACATTTAAAACAAGACAGTCATTTCTTCTCTGTTATGTGGTAAACTTGTTGTTAGTAAAACAGAGCTGCAGTCTGAGACTCATATCTGCTGTCCTTATGGCACACACCATTAACAGCCACGCTTTGCATTAATAATGGACCAGTCTTTCTCTTTACTTCAAACCCATCAGTACCAGAACTGTGTGCTTGAAATCTGCTGACTGAACTGGTGTTTATGACAGCCAGCTATCATCACTTCTGTTTGTTTAATCTCTGCCCTCCTCTCAGAGGCCCTCTGCGTTCCCCTTTCACCCCACTCTGCCTCTCCCTGGACTCGATCTTTGACTCCTTTAGGGAGGTCTGCACTATTGGAAGGGTCTCCATGGACCCAGCAGAAATGACTCCACAAAAACGAAAAACAGACACACACACACACACACACACACACACACACACACACACACACACGCACACACACACACACACACACACAC